CGCGAGGGTCCAGCAGAGAACCACCGCCAGCCATTACATTAACACTCCCCTTCTAGGAGGACTCTCTCTTGCTTGTGATGAAGTCACAATATGCAAGTGTTCTTCAGAATTTTTTTTTTTTTAAAGAGAAGTGTAGAATTAAAGCAGAGATGTCTGACATAAAAACAAACTGCTGAATCCTGGTCTTGAGCCTCCAGAGTGGGATGGAAAGTCCAGAGCCAGCAGAATCACTCTACCGCCCAACCCCTCAGGCCACATCCACAGACCTCTAGGGAAGAGCAGACGCTGCGGCTAGGGCTGGCCACTGGCATCTGATAGAGCTGGGTTCCAGGACATGCCCCACCATTGTGTTGTCTGATCTTGGGTTTGTTGCTTAAAAAACTGACATCAGTTCCTCCACTGTGAAATGACAAAAACAAATGCGTAGGGTCACTGAGAAGTTTAAACCAGATGAGGCATGCAAAGCCCTTAGGAGGGTGGCTGGCATGATGAAAGTGTGGCACCCCCACCTACCCCCTTCCCCGCCACCCACAGCTGCCCCTGCCCCTGTCCTCCTGGTCGTTGTCCTAGGTCACTAGCCTGGGTCCATGCGTGCCCTGTGCTGTTCGGCACTGAGGTACTTTTCCTCCACCCCCACACTGGCTCTCTTATCTTTTCCAGAGCAGGGACCTTGGGACATTTTTGCATTCATTCAGGATTTACACTGCTCAAAACAGAGGCTTTGCTATGTTTTGAAAGTGCCTAGATTAACCTTGGGGGTGGGATGCAAAGCAACAGCCCATGTGAGAACTGACTATGTGCTCCTCCCCTCCCGGATGTGGCTCTTCTGTGCTTCTAGCCACTGTGATGTACAGAAACCTCTAGGACACCTTGTTACTAAATGCTTAGTTGTGAACAAAGCAGAAATGAAATTTTCCCGCATGATAAGAGACATTTCTGATTGTTATTTGGAGGGAAGGGAGCCATTAGCTAAAAGATCAATTATCTCTCTATTAGTCAAACAGTACAAAGTTTCAGTTGCACAAGATAAGTCCCAGAGATGTACTGGATTTACTGAACAGCACAGCACCTGTTGTTAACAACCCTGCACCATACAATTAGGAATTTGCTGAGAGGGGAGATTTTGTGTTGTGCTCTTATCACAGAATAATAATAATAATAAAGAGGACAGGAGGAAACTATTAGAGGTGTTGGGTATGTTTATGGCATAGATTGTGGTGAGCATTTCACCACAATCCAAAGTCATCAATATGTATATATTAAATATGTACAGATTTTTGTGTGCCAGTCATATCCCAATAAAGTGGTTTAAAAATCTATTATTCATTCACTCATTTTATCTCTTGTTTCTCTTGTCTGTTTGCCTAGCCTGTCTCCCCTGTCTCTGACATTTCCAGAGGCTTCTTATAATGTGAGATACCGTGGAAAATAAAGACTTCACCTATTCTGCTTGGCCTATGTTGTTCAAATTTGTTCCTGTTTATCGGGAGGCGAGTTGTACTTGCATTTAATTAGGAAATACTTTCCATAGCCTGGGGAGAAAACTGCATTTTCTGCATCATTTCTAAAACATTGTTCAACTTTTTTCTTTATCATCATATCAGTTTATTGAATTTGATACTAGACTTGTTTTTATATTTACATGAAAGAATGAAAATGAGCAAAAGGAAACATACAGAATGTTTAGATCAACAAACAATTAACTACACAATCCCTCTCAGGAGGGACCCAAGGGAGGTGCCTGGGGTATATTTTGAAGCTTTTTTGAATATGCAGGTTGTGTTTGTCCAGATCTCCAAAGAGAAGACACCAAGCAGGTTTTACACATGTGAGGATTTCATCAGGGAACGTGTCTGGGAGGGAAAGTGGGCAGGGCCAGGAGAAGCTGGAGGCAGGGGTGGAGCTGGGGTGAAAGGGGTGTGGGGGAACCCCAGGAGAGGTAGGCAGTGAGCCCAGGTGGCACGGAAGCACCCTAGGCAGCCATGCAGCCCAAGGAAGGCTTGACATAGCCTCGGGGGCCTTAAGCTATCTCCCAGACTGGCTTGCCTCAGTTTCCCTGCACACCTGGTCACTGGTGGGGGTGCACCCTTGTAACAGAGGGAATGGCCTGAAAAAGGGTAAAATGTTTTACAACTTGTGTCTTTAAAACTCCCCCAACTGTTTTTGGGAATTAAAACCTACATCCCTGCCCAACGCCAGTAATCAGAGGGGCAGGAGTGTGTCCTTTGTTCTTTATACCGCAGGAGATGGCTCAACTGAATTGTGGGAGAGGTCACAAGATAGTCTTCACCTGGAGATGGGACAGATCAGAACTGTCAACTATAGTCAAACAGCAGTAGCCTAAAGCTGAAAACCCTCCCTTTAAAAGCTCTGTATTTCTGCTTATAGTTAGGACAATGGCACTTGAAGATGAGAGTCTCCATCCTCCTCATTTGCTGGAAAATTAATAAACCTCTCTTTCTTTCTCCTCAAACCACTTGTCCTCATACCTCTGATGCAGCCTTGGAGACAAGTGCCAAACTTTCACTAACTCCCTGGGCAGCATGGCCCAGGGCCACACTCTGCGTGGTTTCCGAGCCCGGCAGTGGGGCCTGGGTCAGTCCGGGTGTTCGAGGTGTATGCTCACAGTCGCCACACAGGTGGTTTGCTCCATCCTTGGTTTTATTCTGCATTTGATGTTGGCCTGGCACTAAATACCAAGGCCGTGCCACGGCTAGACTCTGTTTCTCTGTTATCTTCCAATCATGAGGAGTGCCCCCCTCCCCAGACAGCACAGCTTCCGCACTCTCACTCCGGTCTTTCTGGAGAATGTCTATTAGGGGAAGGGTCCTTTTTGTGAAGTCTTGTTTCTGTTGGTTTCTGAGCTTCCCAGGGTGGTGGCGTGCTGTCAGTGGAGGGGACTCAGAAATGCACTGGACCACTGACACGCCAGAAGCCAGCCCTCTGGCTACAGAAATCCTTCCAGTAACTTTGTTGGGAAAATGACTGTAAACTCAAGCCTTGGCTGGAGTCCCACGCTCCTGCACCCTGGCACCTGTGAGGGAGGGTGGTGTATTAACGGAAGCTCTGCATTTCTCCCTGCAGCTCTGGCAATCACTTCCTTTCTCACACTCAAGGCAGTGGCTTGACCCGAGCTCTCCCGCAAGAAATTTCTGGCCCTTTCCTGGTTCTGAGGTTCTTTGTTCTTTCCCTCACATGCTCCCGTACTCCTCAGGTGTTTTCTGTGTGTGCTGTCTTTGTTGTGTTGGCCCCTCCTGCCCCCCAAATGTGTCTGCATTAGCGTAATGTGGTGCTGAGAGTCAGGAAGATTGGAGGGTGTTGGGTTTTTTTGTCAGATTTTCCATATACCTTGTTTTTTCCTTTGAGCTAAGTGTCTTGAGATGCCAGCCCCAAAAGAAGCACCAAAAATCTCTTGCCCATCTTAGGAAGTGCCAGGGGAGAACAGCCACTCCGACCTTGGGGAAATCACCTTGAGTTCCAGTTTCTTTCAGGTTCCAAGCCATCCTGACCTTCGGCTGAAGGACAACAGGCACCCATCCCTCATACGGCAGTGCAGTGTGGGGAAAAAGAGCACCCGGTGGCTAGTCCAAACTAGAGGGGAGAGCCCAGCTCTGTCCTTCACTCTGTGGCTTTTGTCAGTTCCCAGTGAATCTCAGCTTCTTCTTCAAAACATGGGGATGGCAAGAGCATCCCTGCCAGCTCCTTGGGCTGCTGTGGGGACCCCTGTCCAAATGAGGTAACAGACTAGGAAGCAGTTTGCGATGGCACTGTGCTGTGCGAACGTGCTAACTAATCATCAGAACAGCGTCTCCCACAGTGCTCCTGAGGAATCTTCATCCCGAGGGATATTAATACAAATGTTATTGGAAAAGAAATGGTTTTTTTTCTAAGTTAAAAATAGTTTGGGAACTGCTGGGTTATCCAAGTTGTAAACAGGTTCACCACTGCAGGACTTTAATGTACTCTGACTGTCCCAACAGCGCATGCTTGGATCATCAGAGACAGCAAACACATTGGGATGGATTAGTTGGTTTAGTCAGTGGATAGATTATGAGGAGCTACAACCTGAAAGGCACAAAGGCTCTTGATACCCAAGTCAGCCCAGGAGAAATCCCTGACATCTGTGAAGAATCCATCCGGGATCCCCCAACTCACTACCGGCCCTTCCAGAGTCCACTCAGCTCCTGATGTCATCCTGAGCCATGTTTCTATCAAGAATCATAGGAGGTTGTGCTTATCCTCACATAAGTTAAGCCTCACTTTAACTTTCTCTCCAGCTTCATCCCTCAATCGATGACCAGTTGGTGTCCGGAGCACCCCACGAAACGCTCCCATGGTTTTCCTTGTTTCATGTGGAATGCACAGTGGTCACTTCCAGGAAGATCTGAGTTGCTGCGCAATTGACCATTGCCCCTGCTAACTCATCACAGACTCGTGCTTTCTGCCCCAGAGCCATCACCTTGGTAGGCCTCTTCGTTTTGAAGTTCCTTCCACCACTATCACTAGCACTTGGCTTGTTTCATGAGAAACAAAGTTCTGTGACTGTTTAAATCACTTTGGGAGAATTCTAAGGCTGCAGTGAGTGTTGGCCAGGTCCATTCACCAGATGGGGGCTTGCTCCTCAGCCTCACTCCTGCTCCTCACCCCCTCCTCCTGAAGGGAGCTCAATGTATCCACAACTGCCTTCTCTCCACCCCTTTGTCAAAGGTGGAGCGACTTTCCCAAAACAGCTGGGAAGGCTTGGCTTAGCTCTGCTGCTCTTCCTCTTGCAAGTCAGCTGCCTGCAGGTCTTGGTGGCCCGCCCCTGCCTCAGCAGATAAATGTGTCCAGTTCCGTGGTTTAATTAACAAGGCTCGTTTTTGCTCTCCCTTCCTGATTTCTTAATTTGTTCAGAACCCAGGCAGAAGAGGGGGCTGGGAAGAGGAGTCGGGCTTGTTTCTCTTCCGATGGTACGAAGCTCCAGAAGACTAAGTAGGCCATAAAAGCCGCAGGAGTTTAACTGGGGAGGTGAGTACCAAGGCTTGCTACTTGAGAGGTACCAATGCCTAACTAATCGCGGTTAGCGTTGTGGGAGCACTTCCTATGATGTGAGCCGGGCATCGCGTGAAGCACGTTGCGTGAGTGAGCAGTCCCCACTAATCCACGCAGGTGCCCTCGTGATCTCCATTGCAGAAGAGGATGCTGGAACTGTCACACTGCAGGAAACTGACAGGGAACTGGGGTCCAGCCTTTCTAAGAAGAAAGGGACCTCCTCATGGGGAGACTGCACCTTGACTGCAGGCTGGACTCAGAGCAGCAGAGAGAGAGAAGGAAGGACACTAAGTGAGCAAACATGAGATGGTGGGACTGCCCAAGGCATGTCTGAGGACCAGTGAGTACCCTGCAAGGCTTGAGTGGGGCTTTATGGCAGAGGGAGAGTCCCCAGATTTGCAACTGGAAATACTGGAGTTAGGTGAGGCCTCTGGAGTTTTCTAATCCAACCTCTTATACATGGAGGAAGTTTTCTTTATTTCTAAATTAATTTTTTATTACAAAAATTATGCTCCATACTTCATTCTTTCACTTATGGGACAAGTGTTTACCTGGTGCCAGTGGTATGCAGTGATGGGGGCAGCAGTGAGCAGCCCAGGCCTGGCCCTGGTGCCAGGAGCTGCCCTCCCATGGTGGCGCCTGGCAGGTAGAAGGCCACATGGGTCCTGCTCCACCGCCAGGCCTGATGATGGGCTCCCAGGAGGGCTCCCCTTCCAGGAAACCCTGCTGAACCTTTTGTTGTACACTGGGGGAGAATTCTGTCTCCTGGTAACCTCTGCACCCTGTGCTGCCACTGCCCACAGGAAATGCCAGGACTTCTCTTTTTCAGACCAGAAGATTCCAGTTCCTCTGATACTTCTCTGGGGGCCCTCCTAGGAGTAAATGTGTTCTGGGGGCCCTTCTTGGGACTAAAGGCTGTCCAGCTCCCTCCCTCTGTGGCCCCAGGTGCCTTGACCCTGCCAGCACCCTCGGAGGGAGGCAGCGCACAGTGGGACCCTAGTAGGAAGGGCAGTGGCAGGATCAGAAGAGTTCAAAACCTCATTGCCAGGAGTCTGGACCTTATCTGGGACCCAACAGCACATGGCTGGGGGTTCTTCAATAGGGAGGGGGGTGATGTGGGGCCAGGGGTCCTGGGAGGTTGTCCTGCAGCCAGCCAGCAGGGGAGACCCAAGGGAAAAGAGAAGAGAGGCTGCTACCTCTTCAGGATTCAAATCACTTCACTGCGCATTGCTCAAGGATGCGCCTGTGGAGAGTAAGGCACTATGTTAAGTTACACAAGGTCTACCCACCACATGCCTGATTCTCAGATTTCATCATTGGGCTTTGTACCATAATAACTAGTAATAATAATAGCCCATGCCCATGGCTCTTTACTGTGCGTTGCCTACTGTTCTAAGCACCTGACTGGCATTAGCTCTTTTACTCATCACAACCCTTTGACGGATAAGGAAACTGAGGCATAGAGAGGATAGATAATTTAGAGGGTTTCACAGCTAGGAAGAGGCAGAAACAGGATTCAAACCCAGGCAAGCTGACTCTAGAGCCTCTACTCCCCACCACAGGCTACGTACACAGCCTTGAACAAGTGAATCACCGATCTCCTCTCTGTGTTTGGCTGTCAGGGAGAAGAAATAGCATATTGAAGAGGGACATGCATACTGTCTACCTATCAGTGGTAGCATTTATATTGTTTTAATGGACAAATTAAAAATTTTATGTATTTTAGGTGTGCAGCATGATGTTTTAATATATGCAAACACCGTGCAATGGCTAAATCAAGCTAATTAACATATGCATTACCTCACATACTTATTTTTGAGTGGTGAAAACACTCAAAATCTACTCTTTGAGTAATTTTCAAGCATATAATGTATTGTTATTAACTATAGTCACCATGATGTACAACAGATCTTTTGAACTTATTCCTCCTGTTCAGCCGAAATTTTGTATTCTTTGATCAATGTCTCCCCAGCCTCCACCCCTGTGCCACACCCCTCAGCCTCAGGTAACCCCTATTCTACTCTCTGCTTCTGTGAGTTTTTAGATTCCACATATAAGCGGGACCATGTAGTATTTGCCTTTCTGTGTCTGGTTTATTTCACTTAACATAATGTCCTCGAGGTTCGTCCATGTGGCAAATGACAAGATTTCCTCTTTGTTAAAGCTGAATAGTCTTCCATTGTGTACATATGCCACATTTTCTTTAGCCATTCATTCACTGATGAGCACTTAGGTTGATTCCACCGGCTATTGTGAATAGTGCCACAGTGAACGTGAGAGTGCAGATATCTCTTCGATATATTGGTTTCCTTTCCTTTGGCTATATGCCAGTAGCAGGATTGAGTTGGAGCCCAGATGGTGATGAAAAATGACCTCAGGTTATCCTCACTGCTCATTCTACGCTAGTTATAATGCACTAGTTTCTAAAAGAAACTCCCACCAGCGCCATGATAGTTTACAAATGTTGCGGCAACTCCTGGAGGAAGTTACCCTGCCTGGTTTAGAAAGAGGAGGGACTCTCAGTTCTGGGAACTCCCTACCTCTTTCCCAGAGGAAAATCTTATGAATAATCCTCCCTCCATTTAATGTAGAATTAAACAGAAGATATAAAATACGATCCCGAAAACTCACAAAGTGCTACTCTGTGTTGCTCTGAGAGATAGCCACTGCTTTGCCAATGGAGCAAGCCGTCCTTCTCTTTTTTTGTGACTTCAATAAACTTGCTTTTGCTTTACTCTGTTGGCTCACTCTTGAAGTATTTCCTGTATGAAGCCAAGAACCCACTTGGCCTTCAGGCTAGACCCCAGTTCTGGGATCTACTTTCTATTATCAGGATTGTTGGGTCATATGGGAGTTCTATTTTAATTTTTTGAGGAACCTCCATACTGTTTTCCAAAATGGCTGTACTGATATACATTCCCACTAGCAATGAATAGTAGCATATATTTACCCCTACACTTTAGTACCTTTTCTGCTTTGGTTTTACAATCGATGTCTAAGTTCAAGCCTCCTTCACGGGTGTGGAGGCTAGTTTGGGGCCAGTGGACATTGCACAGGGCATCCCAGTGACTTGCTACTTGTGGCGATTTTTCTCATGATGGCCACCATAGATTCATTTCCTTCCTATAAGTGCAAGGCAATCCCTCATTGAGAGATAGAGTCTATTTCTTTACCCTTTTGAATCTGGACTGGCTTATGATGGCTTTGACCAACGGATTCCAACAAAATGCTGCCCTGGGGAAGGTCAGCCATGGAAGTAGCGTACCTATCTTGAGATCACCAAGCTATAAGGATGCCTGATTTAGCTGTGTGGTGAGAGACACTTTCTGCTGCTATCTGATTGCAACCCTGTGTGGAATCTCAAGTAAGAACATCCCAAAGGTCTACAACAATCCCTAGAACTATGAAGGTTACTAATAAATTGTTGTCTTAAGCCACTACATTTTAAAAATCTTTTATGACTCATTATTTTTGAAAATTAAAGTATAAAACTTGTTTCCAAAAAGTAAAAACAAGCTTCCCACATAAGGTTTTAAGAATCCACAAAAATATTCTCCATTATTTACCAATAGGACTTCTTAATTGTTTGAATCCTTCCCAAATTGCTTAGCTTTCCAATGTCATCAGGAAAGAGATAGGATGTTCACTCACCTCTCCCCACAATTTTCTTTTTTTTCCTCATTTTTATTGATACGTAATAATTGTACATATTTATGGGATACATGTCATACTTTGATACGTGCATACAATATGAAATGATTAAGTCAAGGCATTTAGGATATCCACCACCTCAAACATTTATCATTTCTTTGTATTGGGAACATTTCAAATCCTCTCTTCTAGCTATTTGAAATATACAGTAGTAAATGATTGTTAACTACATCTATCCTACTGTGCTATTGAACACTAGAACTTATTCCTTCTATGTAATTGTATGTTTATACCCATTAACCAACCTTTCTTCATTCCCTGCCCCCTTCCCAGCCTCTGATAACCATCATTCTACTCTCTACCTCCATGAAATAAATCTTTTTAGCTCCTACACATGAGTGAGAACATGTGATATTTGTCCTTCTGTGCCTGGCTTATTTCACTTAACATAATGACCTCCAGTCTTATTCACGTTGCTGCAAGTGACAGAATTTCATTCTTTTTTATGGGTGAATAGTATTTCATTGTGTATATATACCACATTTTCTTTATCCATTCATCTGTTGATGGACACTTAGGCTGATACCATATCTTGGCTATTGTGAATAGTGCTGCAATGAACGTGGGGGTACAGGAATCCCTTTGATATACTTATTTCCTTTCTTTTGGATAAATACCCAGTAGTGGGATTGCTGGGTAATATGGTAGTTCTATTTTCTGTTTTTTTTAGAAGCCACCATACTGTTTTCTATAATGACGGTACTCATTTACATTCCCACCAACAATCTACAAGAGTTCCCTTTTCTACACACCCTCACCAACACTTGTCATCTCTTTTCTTTTTGATAATAGCCATCCTAACATGTGTGAGATGATATTTCATTGGGGTTTGATTTGCATTTCCCTGATGATTATTGCTGTTGAGCATTTTTTTCATATACCTGTTGGCCAATTGAATGTCTTCTTTTGAGAAATGTCTATTCATGTCCTTTGCCCACTTTTTAATGGGATTATTTGTTAATTTGCTGTTGAGTTGTTTGAGTTCCTCTAGCTATTAGTCTCTTATCAGGTGAATAGTTTGCACATATTTTTTCCCATTCTACAGGTTGTCTCTTCACTCTATTGATTGTTTCCTTTGCTTTGCAGAAGCTTTTTGGTTTAGTATAGCCCCATTTGTCTATTTTTGTTTTTGTTGCCTGTACTTCTGAAGTTGTAGCCATAAAATCTTTGCCTAGACCAATGTCCTGGAGTGTTTCCCCTATGTTTTCTTCTAGTAGTTTTATTGTTTCAGGTCTTATGTTTAAGTGTTTAATCCATTTTGAGTT